GGTATGGGAGGGGAGGAGGAGGATCCAGGGTGTGGGTGTGCAGGACAGGTGGGGGGCGGTATGGGGGGAGGAGGATCCAGGGTGTGGGTGTGCAGGACAGGTTGGGGGGCAGTATGGGAGAAGGAGGGTCCAGTGTGCAGGTGTGCAGGACAGGTTTTGGGGGTGGTAAAGCTGTCATCCTCACGTGGACTTGCTGCTTTGCAGGTTTTCCACTGAAAGGATTGTAGCCTGGAACATCTTCCGCCTGTGCACGTGGATCAGACCTGGGGGGTCAAGGGGCAGCCTGAGCTAGGGAGCAGGGCCTGGCCCCTGAGTGTGTTAGTCCTGGGGTGGGGGGGTCCTCAGAGAGCCAGCAGGGTCAGGGTGAGGGCAGGGCCGCACCTGGCAGCAACTGCAGGCCCTCGGCCTGGGCGCTCAGCCGGTACCTCTGGCGCTTCCAGCTCCGTTTGGGGCTGAAGATGTCTCGGGCGGCAGCTTTGGCATCCTCTCCCACACAGAAGGTCTCACAGGCGGCCTGAGGGATAGGCTGGTGAGGCTGAGGACCTTCTGCCACCAGGGAGCACCCTAGTGGGGAGCCTGGATGGCTTGACTGCCTGTTGCCCTGGGGGGTCGGCAGCCCTAGCGGCTGAGGCAGGGGCCAGCGACAGCACCTTTTCTGCCAGCCCATTTCATGGCTTGGCTGCTGGGCCTAGGGACCTGGCTTGCTCCTCCTCTGCACGTTCTGATTGGTGTCATCGTTCTTTATCTGGTGAGTGTTAATCCCGTGATCTGAGAAGCAAAGTGCTTGGCACACAGTGGCTCTGTGAAGGCGTCTGTGTGTTCAGACCTGCACTCAAATTCCAATTCCTTTACGTACAGATACATGCCTCAGTTTCCCCACCTTTACATCTCATTGGGTTCTGGTGAAGATTAAATGAAGTACTTTATGTAAAGCCCTTAGCACAGTGTGTGCAGATAGTAAGTGCTCCTGGGTAGGGATGCACAATTCAGGTGGCAGAGGAGGCCCCACCGGGCAGACCCTGGGGAGGGTGTGAATCCTGTGCGCTCCTGGTCAGGAACAAAGCTTGGCCAGTCCCAGGCTTGAAATCCAGGGCTCACCGGTGATTGGCTGAGCCTCATATCACCAAGTCCTGTTAATCTTTCTTTTGTGGTGCATGTGAAGTCTTCTATCTCTTCCTTCCTCAGCTCCCTCCCTTCCTTCCTATCTCCACTGCTGCTGCTCTGGTTAGCTCAGCCTTCCTGCTTCTGGTTCAGTGATGCTCTAAGCCATTCTACGCCTCTGAAGTCCTATTCCCAAAACTTCACGTTGTGGTCTCATCCTGCTCCAATGGCTCCTTTAGATTAAATTCTTTACGTTTTATTTTCCATTCCCTTCTTCCCAATTGGGGCCTATGTGTTTCTCTACCTGACCTCCC